GGGAAAAAACCTTCTCCTTCATGTGGCTGTTTCATGGCATACTGAAAATCTTCCTCTGCTCTGAAGCTTCCAATGCCATCACTCAAAACATTGAAATAGTCCAAATTGAGAAAATTGGCCGAGCTTCGAGGCTTCGCACTGTAACTTAGGAACAGAAAGTTGTCGGTAAAGGAATACATTTGAAAACATTTATATCATAAAGCTAAGGCAAAATTTTACATAGCATCTAAAACTCACTGCAAAAAATCAAGACCAGACAGAAGAAATCATAAAAACAAAAACATCAAATTAAGTTCTTTTAAGTCCAACAAAATCTCAATTTGCCTAAAAATGCAACAAAAATGAGGCTAATGAAGATATTGTTTTAAGGGAAATAAATGTCCTCCACAGGACTCTTTCATATGGGCGACATGTGTTGCCAAATAGGGGTCAAATTGTAAAGTAGTACAAAGCAAACCAAACAACCTGAATGTAAACCGCGTCGTGAGAAAAGAATAAAATAAACTTGATTTCTACAATTTTCATTCGTTATGTTTAATATTCTCCTACAATTCTTCTTATGTAGTCATTTTAGAAAACACAAAGGCGACCGCAGAAGGACAAATCGCTGTTTGCTCTCGACCCCAACCTTATCTCTTATCATTGATTTATTCAAAAGAGAGGAAGTGTTTATTAAAATAATAATAAACTGTTCTGACATATTTTCCTTTTCCAAGTGCAATACAGCTTTACAACACTGATTACTCCTTCATGAATAAAACAGAAATTGAGGCAAGGCCTACCTAACACCCACTGCTACAACAAACTTCTATCGAAGTCTACCAAAATCTGGTTATTACGTGTGCTGTTTAGAAAGTGGAAATCAAAAGGATATCGTTTTTCCTATAAATACTACAAGCGCAGTGAATCTTTACATGACGACGCTTAATTTCATCTTGAAAGAGTGCCGAGCTCCCAAACTAAGTTTGACTTTCTGGACCAACTAGACCACAAGTTCGCAAAGTTCATTTTCTAGTAACTATTTTTATTTCACCCGGCGTGATTGTCCTGACTCCTCGCATGAACACTGTGCGTGCAACTTTCAAGAGGCTTGTTGAACACATTGCGCGTGGATTAACCTCTCTCGGTTCTTTACTTTTGCCGACGGAATCTATTTACGACAATTTATCAACCATCAGTTAAGTGGTTGTAGTGTGAGCTGAACCTTGTTAGTTCCAAATGTCTTTTTGTCAGTTAGGTTCTTCAGGGTCTAAAAAGTGACACTAACCCACCCTTCATGGAAGGTGTTCTCTTTCAAGTGTAAGTGCTAAGATATCAAACGAAAATGGTTTCAAAATACAGTAGGTGTAAGTGATGCTTTTTTTTCCATTTGAATAATCATAAACTTATTAGCCTCTTCAAGATTTTGAGAGCCTGGCTCAACAATTAATTACTGTCTTGGTCCCTTCTCTTTCAATTATTCCCTTTTTTCATAATTCTTTTTCCTAAATACATTCCGTAAAACCATCTTTCATGGATACCCAAAACTTGGTAAAAAAAATTAGCCAATTTCTCTCATCTCTCTCTGCATAAAATTAAATGGAAAAAATTTTGGCGGCTTTCACCATCTTTTACGAGGGCCCTCTTAAAACGTTTGAAATACAGTATTTGAATGTCTGATACGATATAAGTAAGAGATGAAGTTTCAGGCATTGGCTGTATGTTGAAAGATAGGCTACCATCTTACAACTACAAGAAAACTAAAGATAGCTCCCAAGCTATTTCAAGGCGACGACAGCATACTTCCGAGAACGACTTCCAGCTTAAGCCGCAGGACCTGGGAACTTTAAGAACCTTGTATTCGTTGGATAAGTCGAGCATGAGTTTGTCAGAGAGGGGGGCAAAAAACGAAAATACATGAATGTTCGAATTCTGCCAAGGTGCCTCCCCACCAAAACAAACAATTATGGGTGCACCGAAAATAATTTTTTTTAATTTGATTAAATTATACAGAGTTGATATCAGAATAAAGTGCTCTAAAAGTAGAATTGAACAGGGGTGCTGGTGTAATGTGCAGCCAAAAGCAGACAAAAATAACGTATTGCGTGGCTCGGCAATATCACAGAGTCAGACAACATGCATCCCAACTTCCGGTATCAGTTTCCCGAATGCGTCAATAAAAACAACGCTAAAAACACGCGCGTACCAGTGATACAAGCGAGCTTGCTTTGCAATTCTAACCTTGACCATTTAAGAAAATTTAAATATTTAGTCATAGTTAATAGGATCAGCAAATAACGTCTCAATAGCCGCTATAATATTCGGCTGTCAGATTTGCCTGAGCTCTCTCGATAAGAAGAGAACGTCATCTTACCAAAGATTTCTGTGCGACCTCTTCCATTTCAAATGCGTATTTTATTTGCCCGGAATAGACGCGAAAATTGCCCCGTACAAATCATTTAATTAGGAAAACATATAGAATCATTAGCGGTGCAGGCTAACAAGTTTACAATTTGCTCATGAAGAATAAAGCAAACAGACATTAGACAGGCTGTCCAATGTAACGCCAGCCAAGATTTATCGGGTTTCCTTTGATGTTGCCGCCACATTTTTTACGAAAATAGAGTGCACGATATTTCGAAGGCAAGGGCAAGATTACAGAAAGCTTAAAATGATCAGCGCGACGCTCAATATGAATTTATATCAATTTCAAAACAATAATTTTCCACCTCTTCTATCTCCAAATTGAAGAAAGAGATAAATTTTCTTTAAGTTAAAATCTGACAGCTGAGTCATCATTCGCAACTTGCGATACACATCGAAGTATTGATAGTGAAAACACTTACGATCAAGGGTTAGATAAGCGATTAACTAGGTAAGAATTTTGAGCATCGAATATGGGTATCGGACGTTATATCCTTGTAGCGCTTCAATGAAACTGGCTTCCAATCCTAATGGCTTGATTTCGAGCGATAGACTGTACTTGTGCGTAACAAAACTGCATTTGGAAAAAAATTCCGCAAGCGAACTTTGCAACTATGCAACAAACCAACAGCGTTTGCTCACGCCCTTTCTTAGATCCTATAAATCGATCAGTACTTAAAAAAATTCCACAATCACAAAACTGAATGAAGAAAGCTCTTGAGCTGGGAAATTTTCGTCCCTGAGAATGCTCACTTCCAGACGATTTTTGATGTGTGATAAATAGTGATGCTTTTAAAAACTTGATTGCTTGATTGCCTTTATAGGGGATGATTGCGACAGGCTAATTTGTTTATTGTTTTAATAATCTATGTAGCGTAACAAATCGCAATTTGCCTAAGTGCTTATTCGCGCTCAAATTTAGCTCGGGTCTGAAGATTCTGTTAAGGATCTTGCGTTAGCCTCGTTTGGACCAACGGTGTGCAGTTAAACGGGCGATCTTATTTACTAATGATTGATGAAAGAGCTCTATTCACTGTGCTGAGTGTGAGAGCTGCACGGTGAAGCGAATGCAAACCACAGACCCCTATTCACACACCCATTCCATACCTAAGTGAAGGGAATTATTAAATTCAGTCCTTTTACTTTTAGGGCAAGTATCTTGGTAGGAAATATTTTCTCAGATAACAGGAATATCCTAGAACGACTTGTTTAAATCTATCCTATACTTCTAAAATGTATGCCAGTCTTTGCACTTTAGTTTCTGTTTGGTTATATCAAGAATAAAATTAGTATTGAAGCTCAAAAACTAATAAGCAACAGGTCTAATATAATTATGAGCGAGGTGGGTTTTTTGTTCAAACTGGAAGAAAAATTTCATCTGTTCATGGAACATCCACAAAGGTTGCCAACCTAGCTCAGTGTGATCAAAGTTGAGAAATGGGAGTTTTGTGAAAACTGCTAGTACCAACAAGATAAAACTAACGTTTATGGAGGAATGTTAAACCCTGCATGCTTCCACAGAGGAGATTCAAGTTCAAGGAAGGAATGCGGTAAAGAATGTCTAGCAGTTACCGGACTATCATTTCCTATCTAGGAGGAAAGCAGTACGCGTTTCGCTGGTGCTGCCATTCGACAACTTCTCAAAGACAGATGAGTTCTTGAGCTTATGAGGCTGCTGCGCTATTAAATGTACAAACAGCATTTGAGGATTAGTGTAAGAGAAAAGCGATGTACAGAGAGCGCTCCATGAATATCTTTCTCACGGTGAGGACTGCGATATATCAAGAAAGACAACATCTCCCAGTTGCACGCTTTCGTTAGTCGTTCTATTACATCTCTCAAAGTGCACCGCTCAACCACAGACACTCAAATCTTTCGTTTCAGGATACCGCGTCTCGAAAATAATCACCCAAAATGTTATGTGTTTGTTGGTATTAAAGGAAAATCTGCCCGATTTGTACACAAAATATACCACAAGCGGATGTTGGCACCGTTAACTTAAACATATCCTTTACTCTGACAAAGGTTGAAGCAACTTTGGAATCAGTGAAAATTCCCTTGGGTGTGAGCACGTGAAAAGCGTTTTATTTATGGTACACTGCCGGAAAAGGTAACGCATTAGAAATTTAGTCTGAAAGAGGAACTAAAGTTTGGCTTAATAACCACATATTTAATTTTTAATTTTACTCCCAACTCCTACGTGGTAAGTTCACTCCACAGAGCACGTACTGGATACAGCTAGAATCACGAGTGGTCTGTTGAATAAGTCGAGTGCCCTTTCGACTTTCAATTCTGTGTAACAACTTGAAGTGCAAACGCATTTGCAATTTACAGCCACCAAACAAACAAGTACCTTGAAACCGTACGGAAAGATCCAGTCTATCAATAACATTTGTAATCTCGTTTCGTTATCGCATGGACGTAACAACAACAACACTCTTTAATTGAATTAGTATAACAGGTTGCGTAAAGTGCCCATCCAGTTCATGCAAGAAATTAAGCCGTACGTTATCAAAGACTAAAGACTCGTCGAATATTCGGAGAGCAGATGCACATCTTCTACATGCGCATCATCGTGCCATAAAAACCGCATTTACCTGAACTCTTGCCTCTGTCAAGTCGCAGCGCAGTGCCAGTTGTTCGCGCGTGTAAACATCAGGATAGTGCGTTTTCTGAAAAATCCGCTCCATCTCTTCGAGTTGAAATGAAGTGAACGTGGTTCTATTTCGACGCTTTTTACGTTTGGAAGAAGACTCGTTATTTTCGTTTTCCATCTCCATACAAGACTGAGGACTGGGAGAAAGCTGAGTAGAACCTCCGACGGGAGGCGAAAATTTCCCTGTTGAAGTAATTGAAACACAAGTGTCAAAACATTATTAGGGGTAAAATTCAATTACAATTACAGAACGCACGGCAATTCACCACCTATTAGATCAATCACAACAGCTTCGCATAATGTGCGCCAATTTCCGGAAACTTTTTACAACGACGCTTAAAACTGAAACAAAATTTTGACTTTACCAGCTTGGGACTGAGTGCTCATGGAGAGTGTTCCGTGTTGCCGGGCCATATCGCAGCTCACGTAGTTAGCTGGAGGGGAGTTTGGCGCTGCGGTTGCCCGAGGAATCGGGGCATTTGGTTGCATGTAAGTTGGCGAGCGCGCGCTTTGGCCGATGGACGATACAAACTCAGCGAACTTTTCCATTTCTGAACGACTGCTGATAATGACCCGTAACTGCGGCGAAGTGATCGAGTCTGATTCAACCGTCATCACCAGCGCGGGGTATTTGTGTGACACGCGTGACAGCCGCAAAGACCTGCTCGACCAATCAACGCGCTGTATTAAGTGTAAGCTCCAGGTCCGAGCCTTTTCACAATCCTTCTAACGTCAGTAATAAAGATCTTAAGATAAGAATGATCGTAAGATTCCTAAATCATTCAATCTCATTGGCCATCCCCATGGAAAAACAAGAATGTTCTAAGTGACACTGATCGCTGGAGAAACGAAGAGCGCTAATAAGCTCAAGGACGCCTAAGAAAATCAAAAGGAATTTTTCAACTACACGCTTTGGGTTGAAAGGCTCAAACGGGTTTGCTTATTTTCGAGTGGTGAAGAGAAAAGGAGATTTGCTTAAGTCTTTGTTTGAATAATAAGCGTATGGCTGCTTGGAAACACAAAGGCCTACCGCCCCTTTCCGGTCGAAACCTCTCGCTCGAAGGCAAAAGCCATCTGGACATACACCGACTACACGTTCGCAAGAGGACATAGGGGTATGGGATTCATGTTCAAAACAAGGTGGCCCTTTTTGTTGTTAAACGCTTTCATTAATAAGTCATCCCCACTTCTACCTTAACAAGTGTCGTAATATCTCGTAATTAAATTAATTATCCGTTTACAAGGTCTCCAATGTTTTGTTTCCCTGGCTTGTTAACCTCACTACATTTAATGTTGAAAACTATTTTCATACGAGAAAGCTTTTTTTTCTATCGGTTTGACACGCTTAAGTCCTAAAGTCGAGAAGGAGAGACAAGGTGAAGTTATTGACAGCTATCAATTTTTTTCTCTTTGGCAAACTCCAGTCGATATTCTCAAGGTCTCATTCTCTGGTCTGGAAAAATATTTCAACGGAATTTGAAATGAGATATAAGCCCTTAAGATCAATTCACTATGAAGGTCGGGGCGCACGCTGCGCTTCGGGGGAACTCATCAATGATTTTCCAAACGAACACTTCAATTTAAGTCCTAAAATAAGAGAAGGAATATCCTAAAGAGGGCTTTTTAGAGCTGCATGCCATATCATAGTACTCGTGCCTCTTCCTCTAATTTCTTGCGACCCCTAAGTTTGTTAATTGTTCTCCAGAAAAGCATAAATCCCCTACCCTAACGACCCCAGGTACACAGTGTGCACCCCCCTGCATCTCCCACAGAGCGTCTAAAGAAGATCAGATCACATCTGTCGCAAGTATCCTTTTATTATTCCGCCAAGCTCTGCGACGTGAGTATTATCATTGTCCGCTTTGATTGTCACCAGGAAGTGTCCTATTTCATTTCTGTTCTATTTCAATGTCATTGTGTGTGCGCACGTGGGGGACTCTTGCGGTTCCCCGGCCCACGCAGTCCGAGATACAGGGAAAGCGAAGTGAAGCCTCCTAATAGACTGTACTTGTATGTTCTCGAATAGCACGACAGAGAAAGAGAGGCGCGCAGCTAGTCAGAGTAGTTGGGGCTTAGTGCTTTTAGCTCTCATGTGGGACAAAGTATGCTGCCGGCAGTGCTTTCAATTTCAGGCCCATTCTTTTTTTTTTTTTTTTCAAAGCTTTCAAGTGAATCTACCAGACTCCAAAACAATAACAATGATCTTAATAATAAAAATACACGAACTAAAAGGAAAAAATATGCGATTACTCGAGATGGACCCTTCCTAACCAAACGGCTATATTGGTTGTTGACCACTCGGAAAGAGAGAGGTCTAGTAACTGGAAAGGAAAACGAAATACTTCCGCTAACTGACAAATTGTCAGAATGAGCAAATTGACATCATTTTTAAGCAGTAAAAAGCATTAAAGAAATCCTTTTACTTTTAATGTTTAGAAAAGTGCAAAAAACCTTATTGTATTCTGGCAATGATTTTCTGAAAAATAATTCCCCGATCCCTTTGCCCCGATTAAGCCAAAAATTCCATTAGCACAATCGTCTAAGGGTTCACGGGCGGCCAGTCGTAATAGGCCCTTTCCGCATACGCCGGATGTACTAGAGATGTTAAAAAGTTGTCGAGACATTCATATGAAAATATCAAGATATCAACAAACTAAGGGACATTGAAGATATCGCAGCTTTTTGGCAGAGCGCTGTGTTTCTTGGGGTGCTATGCAATTCCATACCAGCGCCAATCCAGCTCATCGCTGAGTCTCCCTTTGAATATGAATAATCAATTCCTTCTAATGTCGGTTACTGCAGAAGCCACCTTCCAAAACAGTGGATGCATTGTAACATCGATGAACCTATAGGGGCCTGATCAGCCACAGTGCTGATGTAGAAAATTCCTTACTTCCATGATCATTCGACTCCAACAAGCGAAATTTGGACCTTGGTGATTCAAAATCGATGAGTTTATGACAGAAAAATAGGAGATATATAGAATGGTTTTTGGGAAATCTACGAACATTTTGTCGAATCAGGAAAAAGCTTGAAGGTTTACTGGAAAGGTACTTACGCAACCGACGTGATATTTTCGGATAGGCCTACAGGCAATGTCGTAAAAATTCCAATGAAGGTTACCCTTTCACTTCAAGGAGTGATTAGTGTCCGATATCACTGCTGAATCGAGCACTGCACTAGGACAGGATCACCAACTAAAGAAGCTCCTTGTCAGTAGTATTATCGGAAATGTACAGAGAGAATAGTATGGAGAATATGCGTTTTGATGTTAAGGAGTAAAGGGTTACTTAGAAAAGGTTAATTTAAAAAGAACTATGTCATGCTTCACCGACCCCTACTAAATCGTTCAGGTAAATTATTCAACTCAAGCATACCGCATTTATCTTCTTCTTCCGTAGCGAATTTTTTAATTAAATTGCAGATTGTTCAGTCAATATAAAAATGAATTATAAGTTATTCTTTATGCATCAAAGGTCATTTGCCAAGACTCAAAAACGACTCAAAATATTCATTATGCCAAAGCAAATGAAAATATTGTTAATTTTATCAATCCCACAAATGTCGGGTAGCGTGGCCGAGCGGTCTAAGGCGTTGGTTTAAGGCACCAATCTCTTCGGAGGCGTGGGTTCGAATCCCACCGCTGCCAGATACTTTTTCTTTTTTTTTTTTTTTCTGTAATTTCTAACTTCTTTTCAAAGTGAGACCATTCCTAAATTGAGTTCGACACAATATAACGAGGTTTTAGACAAAAATTTCCCAGCATTGCGATGTGCCCTGCTAACCTCTCTTTGGACTTCGTTGTGAGAGGCATCGATCGTAAATCGTCGTCATCAGGCGACAACGATATTCGACTTGGGCGCAAGTTTTTCCTGAGAAACAGCACATTTACAGTTCATTTGCATCTCATTATCTTTTCTAATTTCCTTTCGGTTAGATTACGTTCCATGAGTTTCAATGACGCTTCGAATTGTTCCTCGTTCTGAGGTCATGTTACTCTTTAACTATAAACCCGACACGCTTTATCAACCCAATTATGACTCAAACAAGTTGAAAAGACAAAAAACTCCTCCACTCAGTCCTGAAAAAAAAAAAAAAAGAAAAAAAAAAAAAGAAGCATATCGCAAGATCAAACGCGCTAAGTGCCTTAGCTAGTCAATTTTTCAACTGTAAACACGCTTTGTTAGCATAATAAATTATAGGATCAAGTTTACGGAATTGTTTTTTAATCAAATTGCTTTGTAACCTGCATTAAATACATACTGCTGATGTAGAGCTTAACTAAAAACCTCACCAAATTCCCGTCAAAATTCTCGCAGAATTCCTTCTTCCAAGATCAAGTTGTCACGTACTTCCTCGTTTCTCAACTTTATAGATCGGTCTCGACTTTGAAGAATCCCTGAAAGCAGTACTTAAACAATCGAAGCTTAGACAATCGTAGCTTAGACAAACTAATAGCTCCAAATTTGAATAACACTGGCTCTGGGTTGATTGATTTCACACACCTCTCAAAGCAACTCGAATTAATTCTGCAAAGCCAGATGTTTTAAGAACTCCTCCAAGCAGTGGTAGACCAGTAGGAGAGTTTCGTTGTAATAATTCAAAACTCAGTACAACACAACGCATGTTGCTTCTGTGAGTGACCACCTCTTGAGGTATAAAATCTGCTCCAACTTTGACATCAACTAAAATGTTAACGCGCAGAGACCCGCACAAACAGACGGACGCCAAGTTTGCATTGCTGGGCGCAAGGAACGTGGGAAAATCTGGTAGGTTGCTCTATAAGTCTGAGACAAATTATAAAAGAATATAGAATCTATCATTTGTAACAGAATGACCCTGCCTGAGAAGAACAGCTACCCTTTCTTCAAGTTGCGTCTTCTTTTAGAGCGTCTGAACCAGCCTAAACTCGAGTTCGATAGGACACTACGGAGTGTTAGATGTCACCTTCCACAAGACTTGGACATCTTCCGAAAGTATGAGGCGAACCCGGATAGTGGGAAATAGATTGGGGGTGAAATCTCAAGCCTCAAACTTTGACAATTGCATATAGTCGGTAGTTCGATCACCTCTGCTACCTAACTTGGGGAAAGTTTATGAGTCAATCCTACAAGCAGGGTTAATTTGCCGAGGACATTTTCAACTGGAAAAATAACCTGTACATTTTCTTTTTAAGAAAGCTCAAAAGTACGGCGGATCAAAAAGAAAGAGTGGTTACGCAACTCGAAGAAAATTTAAGAACTACCGAGCACTTAAACAAAGTTTGGACGTTGTTTAACAAAATCGTGTTCTGAGTCATCTTCAATTTAACCAGAGTTAAATTAACTCTGATTTAACCGAAGCTTTTATATGAACATTTATTTTTGTGATCAGTGTCAAGAAGGCCGAAAGCTAATAGTGGAAGGACATTTATTCGATTAATTAAGTCAACCCTTTAATAGAGAATCCCTGAGGCCCACTAACTGCGTTAAACCGCGGTTTTGGTTAGACCTCGTGTAAATAACTGGCCCTAAAACTTAATGCACAAATGAATGTCCGCGTTTTGAGATACAGATTTTCATGGTTGGTTATCGGACTAACGACATGGGTGTCAAATTATCTGCTCAACAACATACCGGTTGAAATTGATTGAGTTAACAATCTAAGTCGATGGAACATGATAAAATTACTGATTATTGTCATGTCTGAATCAGTGATCTAATATCATGATAATCATTCAAAGGGGACACAAAATTGAGATGAATAAGGGTTCAAGGTTATAATTAAATCGTTTTCTGATCACACATGAAACGAAAATGAAAGTAATAAAACTTGGAGATGTTTCAAAAGTTTCGCGTTTTAGAGCATCAAGATTCTTATGTCAGGGTATAGTTTGACAGAGAAGCGTTTCGGGGTCACATTGGACGGGTTTTTGATGACCCAGATCTGCTTTACATCGGTGAGAAAAAACTGTGGTTTGTTTACTTAACTTCCTAGATTTAAATGATTTAATAACATATTTGATAGACATATGATGTTCAAGTTCAAAGATGACAAGGCCTTTATCACAAAGGGTAGGGGTTCATTCATCGAACTTTGGTCTGTTTTCCACTACTTAATCAATGACCACTCTCCTAAAGTTTGGTTTAGATTAAATGGGAATTTAACAAATGATTTTCGTTTGTACTCAGTGATGTTTGTTATTTAATGTACCAATTAGAGGGAAGCGTACTCCAACACTGGAAACATTTAATCCTGTACCTTGAGGTGAATGATTTAGCATGTCTCTGTCAATTTGAAAAATTAGCGAATAAGCCATATTTTGTTCAAAACGAGGGGAAAAGTAAAGTCTTTATTATTTATGAAAATGATGAAAATTTTACAAAGGAAAGGTTTCCCTCTTAGTCAGCTATTTATAAACGTGATCTGGATGAGGGTTTAGAAATCCGAATTGTACCATTACATGCAGACAGTGCGCGGATACTTAACTGAGAAGCTCTTTGTTCACTTTAGTGAGATATCATATACATAAAACTACTGAAACGTCATCATGAGAAAAAGAGGTAAAATTGAAAAAGCTCAGGACACTTCATCAGAGACAGACACTCCACTCTAAGGTTCCCATAACTCATAAAACTTGTTTTTGTTTTTTATCCTTTTTTACGATAGCTGATTGTCGTTTTGGTATCCACGATGTAGCATTTAACATCTCCATGTCAAGAGTAAGGCCAACTTTAGGGTAGCCGAACGTCTTTCGCCCTTTGCCCTATGCGTAACCAGTACGTAAATTGCTCTTACACTTCGAATATAATGTCGATCAGACATGCAATGAAAATTCCTTGTGCTAAGTCGGTTCTGACTCTTATTGGATCAGTAAAGAAATCAATAGCTCTGGTATCTGAACCGTTTGGGTTCACATAAAAGCATTCTTGTTTCTTTGTTTATTTACGTTTGTGTTTTGTTCTTTAATTGCATTGATTTTGTCCCGCCTTTTTCTTCAACCTTGGTTTTTTTAGGTTTGTTTTGTAATTTGCTGAAAAAGTTACTTAGAACGTTTCCTTCCAACTGAGAGCTTTTCTGCCGTTTAATTTTACAACTTCTCGTATAAGCATATTCATAAATGAAGGATAGTGCGCAAGTGACCTTCTGTGGATCGATTTTGGTCGGATCATGACCTAACCCCAAAGCCTCGGGAGCTTTACCATTTCTGTACGTTAACTGAATCAGTTCAATCTAATTAGCGGAAGGGCGCGGCAAACTGACTCTGACAATAAGTAGCTTTAATTTCATCGACGGAAATCTGGACTATTAAATAAGTTTTGCTTAACTTAGCTTTGGATTATAACTTTGTCGCTAATTATTAAAGCCGTATTTATGCAAGAGAGATTTCCCTCCCGGTTAGCTCAATTGGTTAGAGCGCCGGATTGTGTTGTGCGGGAGGTCGAGGGCTCGAACCCCGGCCGGACCGATACTCATGGTCTTAAAATAAGTGAGGAGAATTTGCTACCTTTCTATAATCAAAATATGGATAGAAATTCTAGTCTTCTCGGATAAGGACGAATAAACCGTAGGCCCCGTCTCCTGCAGGGTTAAGGGAAGGAGACGTTAATTTCCCACGCACGAGATTACTGTGTTGTGGATGTCCTCCCCTGGGGTGGGATGGGTGGGAATTAGCCCTGAAAAGCCCCCATGGGGAGAGGTCAACTAATGAATGTATGTATGTACTTGTATAACAAGTTTGTTTTACTCAAAAACTCCTCTTACACCCTGTATCTTCCGAATGACTAGCCAAAATTTAATCAATATGACTTCTCAGGGAAAAAAAAGCTTTTCATCGATGAACTAAGCTTACGTGAATGACTTTAAAAGGGAATTAGTCAAGAAATATTGACAAGGGTTTAAGGTCAATACTCCAACAAGTTTCCCTAGTCAAGTGGCTTTGACAACAGAGTTGATTTTGCTTCAGCACAAGGAGTAAAATTTTACTCTGAAAAATAGACCTGCTCAGTATGGAATACTCGCTGATGTAAATGCAATTTAAGTAATTATTTAAACCCTTCTAGTACATCTAACCTTTTTCGCTGTGATTGTTTTCTTCGACAGCAATCGCAGTGAGGTTCCTCACGAAACATTTTATAGGCGAGTATGACTCATCTCAAGGTAAGTTTGCCATATCCCTTATATTAGTGACTAACATCTAATTTCTCCTTACAATATCAGCCTTGAATCACACAGTAAGGTCATGAGAATAAAGGAAATGATCACCAACTGAAGAAACTCTTGATTGCTAAACAAATTCTCCTTGTCGACACCTCAGGAAATGTACAGAGATCAGTATGGAGAATATACAATCTGTCGGAGACTGGGCCCGAACTTCAGTGTCAGAGACTGGGCCCAAGCTTTAGTTGAGTTTGATTGACATTGCACGTGAGTGCAGTCATACATGTCGCTTGAGTGTGTTATTTTAGAAAAGGGAAGGTGTGAGAAAATAAAGCGTAACTGTTGTGTTTGATGAAAGAAAACTTGTGATTGTGACTTCGAGATAATTAACTACTGCCACGGAAGCACTCCCGAAAATCTGATGCTGAGACGTAAATTGTTAATTGAACTCCTTCTCGTCCCTTCTTGGCTTATTCTTTTTCAAGTTGCTTTAACTGCATCTTCTAAGAGAAAATTTACAGTTCAAATGGTAATTTTGCTCTTCGTAAGAAGAGTGAAAGTATCGTGATGCCGCGCCCATAAACTAGTTAGTATAAGTGGATTTGTGATGTCGCAGACCTCCTTCTGTGACTCAGTGGACCTGCTCGGGTTTGAGGTTAAACAGGCGATAAGTCCCTCTCAAAGGTCTTGGAAGTTCATAAACCAACGAGGTCATACATGTCGCAGATTTACACCCACTGTGTCGTGCTCTCGTTATTAAGAAAAGAACCCTATTAATAGAGGTCTATCGTCTAGTTTCCTACTTCGTAAATCCTTACATACACCTAATACTCTGTTACAAAGCCTTTGAGTAGTTATAATCTAAACCCTCTCGAAGCCGCTACATTTCTTTCTTTTTTGTGCATAATGCAGACTTTACGTATCAGTTCAACACGACTATTGAGGATGAGCAGGCTAATCTGGAGATTATAGACCCAGGTCCTGAGGTAAGTTTAAGTCTAAGCCATTGTTCCCGACACACGACAATCCAATATTGCATTCAGTTTAATTCGTTTTGCTCTGTTATTTGTCTGGAAAACTCGTTTAACTCCCACAGCCAATCAGATGCGAAACAAAAACCATGCCTGACTTGGTCCCTTTCATTTTCCCACGCTTCAGGCACCCGGCCCTCTTCAACTAAGAGTTCTCCTTGTGAAATGTTCTCAGCTCTAATTGGCTTTCGTGATTATACTACTTTTGGTTTCACAACAGCTATAAAGCTGACATAGACAAGTGCTATCCATCTTGAAAGAACACAGAAGCAAAACGAACGCACTGTTTAGGCCTTGGAAGTCACGAGTTGTCATAGACTTCTAACCAGGTCGCCCTGGGAAGTACCTTTCTAACTTTCGCCGTTTTCCTTTTCAGTCAAGAAGTGAACAAACTTTTGGAAGTCGGGCAATCTGGGCCGACGGTTTGATCCTTGTCTACTCAATAACCGATCGGAAAAGCTTCGAGGAAATACAACAAATCTATAATCTTATCGATCAATTTAAGCAGAAAACAGTCGTCATCATCTTCGGGAATAAATCAGATCTCGAACACAAACGACAAGTACTCGAAAAAGAAGCCGCTTCATTTGCACAAAAGTTGCAATGCTCTTTCTATGAAGGTTCGGCATCCGAAGGACATATGAAGATCTCCGAGGCATTTCACGAGCTCTACAAAGAGGTCGCTAAGAGGAAAAAAGAAAGAAAGGGTTCTCTTTCACCTCGCCCCTTACGAAATGCTCTTGGGAAAGTTTTCCGAAGAAATAGCAGTAAAAACTTGCCGATGCCACCTGGAGCACTCACTACATAGGTAGATCTTAATTTGACCTGTCATCTCCCACGATCTCATTTGCAATCCTCCCTTAAAACTGCTAGATTTACTTTACAAATCAGTTCAGAGAATTTGGTATTACATCAACTGGACATTCTCTAACTGATATAGTTCACAATTCTCACGTCCAGCTGACTGAATAATCTATCAAATTTAAAAAAAAAAAGCAACACGTGAATCATTTCTGGTAGGTACGGGCTTAACACCGTTTCGTGTAGTGATTTCTTGTAATTTCTCTTCATATTGCAAGAAACCTTTAAGTTGCACTTTACAAGTGGCTCACACGTCTTTAAATTCCATTTAAAATGATTAAACACTACAATATACATGTCTGTCATTTTAGTATTCCTGAGCTACATGTACATAATTGTGTCGCTGTTGTTGGCAAGTTCTTGGGTGGGGTATTTACTGACTGATAGCTATGAACCGCCACACGTAAGACAATAGCATTGCTTTTTAACACGTGAGTATTTCAAAGGGGTATCGGCGTTGAAATCAAATATAATCATCGGGACTTCCAAACATTGATAAATTTTCAAATTTTCCACTATACATGAAAGGGCGATGAAACAAAAGTTAGCTTTCTTTAACAGCTTACAAAATATAATCAAAGGTATAGCACCCACTCTCCAGAGAGGATATAGCTTCAAAAAATATTTCTTCATAAACGTCACTGGCTGCTCAGGATGAAATCTCTCCAGTTAGTGTCCACACGGTCGCCGATCTCCATACCAAAAATAATTTACTGGTTGAATAAATTTCCTTCAAACTGGATATCAATACTTCTTTAGGGTAGCATTCACCTCTGATTTTCCCTTTCTGGGTTCATTGCATAGCTGCCTTTTAAGTCTAAGATTGAATCTTATCGAGAAGATGTTCAATTTGGTTGGCCATAATTGGCTGGCCTTTCCTTGTTCGTCGATTCAACCGACCAAAAGTTTCTCTGCGCTTTTTCATCTTTTCCCGAACCTCCTCTCGGTGTTTTTCTATCATTGTTTCCCTTTCCTAAACCATGAAAGAAAATAACCAGGACGCTATACGTAGTGAGAAACGCCAATTAAATTGTTATCTACAAAAATGACGATGATAAGATTATTACTTGTGAGAAAGTTCCAATGTTTTGATTCATTACTCTTGAGACCGTGAGACAATAGCCCATTGCAGAAACGTGAGAGGACTGGGAAAGAGTGTCGTTTTCCGTTTGTTTGAAAAACTAAGATATTCAAATGAAAGATCAACTAAATTTGAGAGTCTTAAGCAAGAATAGAAGTAATTAGGGGAGGAAAATGGCAAAGTGACAGTTCTTCAAATATCGCCTAAAATAGAGAGATTGTATGGATTGGGTAGACAGGCCAAAAAATTTTAAGGGTTTGTATGGAATTTTTGCAACTTTTGCAAGGCTCCGATTTGGACATTTTTCTGTTGAAAACTCTCAAACTTGACTGGGTAGCTTTCCATTCAGTGACATTTCAGTCGAAATGTTTAGATTTTCAATGTAATCACTATAAGAAACTCGTCCCATTCCTCTCACGTTTCTGCAATGGGCTATGATTGGTTAGTCTTCTACGCGGCCACATTTTCTCGCATGATTGTTTGCTCTCAAACATCCCATGAAATATTGCCGCTATTTCTACCACCTTATTTCAACTTTTTAAATTCAAGACAATTGTTGAGTGTTGTAGCATGTAGCTTATTTCACCCTTCCCTCGCGTTATTGTGGTGCTGCATTATGTATGTAACTTAGTTGGCATGGAAATTGTATTTGAATCTGCCCTATGAAAAACCATTATTTTTCCTTAATACGAGTCACAATGCATATAGAGGTTGACTGACTGTGTTGTCCCAAATAAACTTTCACATTGAACACTCTGTAAGTTAATTCAATCAGAATAACACCTTTCTAACGAAAAAACAGGTGTTAATCGAGGAAGAAAATATTTAAGATGATGATTATCATGTCAATTATTTCTAGTTAAAACACATTCTTAAATATTGGTTGATTCAACAAACCTTAATCATCTGTTCCTTTTCCATTTTCCTTTTTTTAAAATCATTTTCAGCTGCCATGAATTTGTTGACTTGTTTCCGCTTCCTTATGGGAGCACAGAGAAAAAGGAGCATGAGAATTCAGAAACTTCTCTTCTTAAGGGTTTGTTTGATTAACAATTTTTAGTATAATTGCTCCAGTCACTATAGAGATGCATATGCTCTGATTATTCAGTTCCGAAGGGCAAAAAAGATACAAATAAGTTTGGAGTAGCACTTTTCAATAGAAAGATATGAAGCTTTTCCTGATTCAATTAAATTAACCTGTTAAATTCTAGTGAAAAACTGGCTGTTTATTTCGATATCAGTAGTCGAAAAAATTAAAACAGAATGGTTTCAACATCAAAACAAATATTTAC